AGCCAGCCTCCCAGGGTCATTCTCGAGCCTCCTTCCCTGCAGTGCCCCATCCAATCCATCACCCAAGCCTGCTGGCTCTGCTCCATCTCCACAGCCATGACCCTCATCCAAGCTGCCCGCACTTCCCTCCTGTGACTGCACAGCTGGGCCCTCCACGAGGCAGCCAGTGAGACCCTTTAAAGCACACCCCTGATCACATCAGTGGTGTGCTTGAATCTGTGGTTCACGTCCCTCTGTGCTCCGGAGAAAGACTGGACTCCTTCATGTGACTTCTACAAGGGAGTATATTCAACCAGGACACGGCAATACAGCTGCACAGGTGTTAAATGCTGAAAAGCTCTACTCCTCATCAGTGGCCACTGCCGCAGGTTCTTTTTCTTTTTCTTTTTTTTTTTTTTTTTGTGATGGAGTCTCACTCTGTTGCCCAGGCTGGAGTGCAGTGGCGTGATCTCGGCTCACTGCAATCTCTGCCTCCTGGGTTCAAGTGATTCTTCTGCCTCAGCCTCCTGAGTAGCTGGGATTACAGGTACCCGCCACCACGCCTGATTAATTTTCTATTTCAGTAGAGAAGGGGTTTCACCATGTTGGCCAGGCTGGTCTCAGACTCTTGACCTCAGGTGATCCACCCACCTTGGCCTCCAAAATGCAGGGATTACAGGTGTGAGCCACCACGCCTGGCCTGCCACAGGCTCTTAAGTACCCCATCCTTGCTGCTGTGGTCACTGTCCCTTACCCAAGGCCCCTTCCCCTCAGTCAGCAATTGCAGGGTTAACGTCTGTTGCAGCTGGTGAGCACACACATGCATGCACACACACTGCTCTGGCCCAGAGGCACGCTGTCCCAGGTGTTTGTAATTTTGACTTCTAGTTTAGATTTGGGGGTCCATGGGCAGGTTTGTTATATGGGTGTACTGCATGACACTGAGGTTTGGAGGACATACAATCCCAACACTCAGGTAGTGAATACAGTACCCAATAGTTAGCTTTTCCACCCATGTCCCCCTCCCTCCCTCCTCCACCCATAGTTCCCAGTGTCCCCTGTTCCCATATTTACATCCTGGTCTTAGTCACTGAGTGTCGTGACTCTCGCCCCTGCCGTGACTCCAGCACGATCTCAGCTCCGCCTCGCCTGGCCTCTCGTGCTATCTGCGCCGTGCCCACTCTGGCCTTCCTTCAACCCTCTGCGTCTTTCCCTGCCTCTGGGGCTTTGCATAGGCTGCTAAGACAGGCCTGTTCTCCCTTGCTTCACATCATTCGCCCCTGCTCCTCCCTCAGCTCAGCTGCCTCTTCCTCATGGTAGCCTTCTCTGACTTCTGACTCTAGGGCAGGCCTCTCCTATATACTCATAAGATTCTCTGCCTTCCCTTCATGGATCCTAACATGGCTTTTGGTGTGCATATCTGTTTGTGTGATCATTTGATTAACAACACTCACTGCCAACAGACTACAGTTCAGAGAGGATAAGGACTGTGACTTTAAAAAGGAATGATTCTATCCCTGCAGCCCAGCTCTCCATCCACACACATGAGTGCACGTGGAGATGCACAGGAAGCACACTGAACACAAGCATTTAAAGCACAATCAATTTTAAAACAGGCATTCATATAAGGGGCTCACGTAGGCATGCATGTGTGTGTTCTTACATATAAATTTCTTCTTTCCCAAAGACATGGTAATGATAACGATGACAGAACATTAGTAGACACAGTCCATGCAACAAGGAACTGCCCTGAATATTCAGATGTCTCTTATATAAGCCAGGACTGTCTCTTTCCATGCTACTTAGAGTAATTACTTCCTCTTAAGGCAAACAGTACACATTCTTTCCACAAAAACATGCTATTTGAAAGTGTGTTACTTATGTAAGGATAAGTATTTGCCCTGTTACCGCCACCATGGTTCATCAGCTCAGAAGATTCAAGCCGAAAGCAAATTCTCTTCCCATGACCCTGGGACAAGAGCTTGCTTTCATGCATGTTTTAACCAGCAGAAAACTCTAATCAAATTAAGAGGCCAGCCCTGTGCACACGATGCCGATGCAGGCTTGTCCCGCTGGGTGCACTTGTGTGTTTCATGCAGGCATGGGTTCAGCCACCGGAGTCCTGCTCCCCTTACCAGGACTCTCCCCTCAACAGCAAGACCAAACTGCCCTGTGCAACCAGAATGAGATTCAGCAACCCTGACCAGCTCCTTTCCAGGCGCAGCCACCTGCAGCCACCCATCCTGCTCAGCCACAGACCATAAGACAGGGACCAAGAAGGCCACATCTGGCCACATGGGAATTGACCAGGAGCAGAAGGCTTTGCACTCGGTGCAGCCTCTCTTTCGTTCCCTTCTGATGCTCATTCCCTAACTTGCAGCAGTGGCCTCTTTGAGAGAGAGGCCAGGCTTAGCCAGGACTGCAGTCTTGAGTCTAAGGAGGAGCCTCCCCTCAGCCTCGAGCCGGCTGACAGCCACTTGTCACTGGCGCTGAGCCGATCGGAAATGGTGTCAATAAAGTGCAAATAATGCCTTGGTGCCTACTGCTCTCTGAGCCCAAAATGGACTGAAGAGGTGCTCTGAGGAGACAAGGCAGAGTGACAAGGCAGTTACACCCAAGGCCTCTCCAACGGAAGACCAATCAGGACATAGCCATTCCCCGGGCGGCATCAAAATCTTCCAATTTCACACAGAAAATGAGCCCTGGCTCAAGTCTCACACATGTTCAGTTGTCCCCATTTCAGCTCAATGGATTCCTTTGAGAGCTGGAACCTTAACCCTTGGAAGGCCTCTGAAGGTATGATTCACCTCCACTGAGCACTGCACTGCGGACAAACGCATCTGCAATTCTCTAGCCACAGCAAGAACAAAGAAAGCCTGCAGGCGTGCATCTCCACAAGCCCGAGAACCCGTCCCAAGTGGAGAGACAGAGCAATCCCCTGCCTACGGGGGGCTGGGGCAACACAGCTGCAGCCTGCGCAGCTGCTTCTGGGGGTGTGGAGATAAGAAGGTCCCAGACTCCGTCTCCTGAGCAACTCTCACACCAGGACTGTCACCCTGACCCCAGACTTTGCTGCATCCACCTCTTGGCATCAAAAAATGGGCTCAGAGTTTCAACCTGCTACGCGAAGGCAAGCCTGAGCTCTGGATGTTTGCTTAGAACCACCACCATGTCCTTTGGGCGGCGGATATGTGGAAGTTGACATTTCTGGGTGGAGGGATGAGAAAAGGGGCAGGGGGCCTGGTTCCCCATCCAGTTTGCAAATTCCAGTCAGGTCCATGTATCTCGCCTTCCCTCTGAAGTGTGCTGCCAGGGGCTTTGCTTCCTAACACACACTTGTTTCCTATCACACACCACACTGCTCCATCCTCTCTGATCTTTCAGCTGTGAATTTTTGCCACTGCAAGACCAACTGAATCCAAATGGGGTCTTAGCCCTAGGAGTGAAGGCAGGTAGTATTTTGCATTTTATTTTATTTTATCTTTGACATGGAATCTTGCTGTCACCCAAGCTAGAGTGCAATGGCACGATCTCGGCTCACTGCAACCTCCGTCTCCTGGGTTCAAGCAATTCTTCTGCCTCAGCCTCCCAAGTAGCTGGGATTACAGGCACCCGCCACCACACCCGGCTAATTTTTGTATTTTTAGTAGGGACGGGGCCATGTTGGTCAGGCTGGTCTTAAACTCCTGACCTCAGGTGATCTGCTTGCCTCTGTCTGCCAGAGTACTGGGATTACAGGGGTGAGCCACTGCACTGGGCCCTTTTTGCATTTTAAACAGGGGCAGGAGGGCAGGGAAACAGAGGATGAGGTGACAGGACAGAGGCACATTGTCCATGGAAAACTTAACCTGCATTTGGAAAATCTGGCCCTGCTAGCTTGGAAAAGTCACCCAAGCCACTAAAGAATGGAGGAAGCGTGAGGACATTATGCTAAATGAAAGAAGCCAGGTGCAAAAGTACAAATACAGCAGGATTCTGCTTCTGTGAGGTCCTTAGAGTAATCAAATTTGTAGAGACTGGAAGCTGAAGAGTGGTCACCAGGGGCTGGGGAGTAGAGGGAAATGAAGCGTTAGTGTTTTTGCAACGTGGAAAGTGTTCTGGAGATGGATGATGGTTACATAATAATATGAATGGACCTGAAGCCACTGAACTGTATGCCAAAAAAATAGGCAAGACAGGAAATTCTATGCTGTATATTTCACCACAATTAAGAACAAATTTTTAATGGCTAAGGTGGTTTAAAAAAAGTTGCAATGGGTAAAATGTATTCTAAATCAGCAACAATTAGCATGTGTAACTAAACAACTTAATTGGCAGGCAAATATCAACAAACACACACAAAGCCTGTCACCAGTCCACAAGCCCCAGCCACATACCTGTGCCCTTCCTGGAGGGTCATCTCTCTCTCAGTTAGTTCTTGGATCTTTGGCCCCAAGCCTGAGTCTCTGCCCTCTAGCCCAAACCCAATGCATTCCGTTTCCCCACCAGCCCCTCCTGAGGGCCTCAGCTATGTCGCTCAGGAGCCCTGGAGAACTTCTGCGTCAGCCTCATTATCCTCAACCCGAGCCCAGACACCTTCATCAGCCCCTGACCCAAGCGGGGCCTCATTCACTGACTTTCTTCTCAGGCCAGCGGAGAACCCACACAGACTGCCAGTGGACAAAGGAGACTGAACGTCCCTACTGACACAGCATCTTTCAAAGGCTCTTCCTCCTGCTCCAATTCAAAGGCTACAAATTCTAAGACAACAGCAGGACCGACTGCAACTTCTAAGAGAGGAGGCCGCAGGGGATCTGTGCAGGCCTCGCCCATACCGTTCAGGCATCAGCCCTTCTCTGTGGGGCCCTGGGCCACGACGGGAGTAGAAATACCAAGGTTAGGGCCTTCCACAGGCAGCAGCCCTGGGGGAGCTTTGAGGCCACTGGGAAAAGGTTAATAGAGGCAGTTTCAAAGCTCTCAGGAAATGGCATCGACCAAGAGCTACTCTTCAGAGACAACGGGCCTGCCTCCAACCCACTTACCTGGTTACAGGTGTTAATATCTACCCCATTCCGCAGGTGATCCAAAGCTTTGTCCAAGTTACCTGATCTTGCTGCTCTCAGAAAGCTGGTAGCAGCATCAGCCTGTGAGGAAAAACAGCAGGCGGTGAGTGTCCTGTGTGCGTTAATGACTTCCCCACCCCATTCAAGCCCCAGGCCCCTGCAGCAGCTTCTGCACCCTCTGATGTGGCACCCTGGTGCCCACAGTGACACCAGGTATGCACAGGAGCCCTATAGCCCTGGTTGGACTGCTCTTGGGGTGAGCTGCCTTTGCACCCAGGCCTCCCCTCTTTTAATTTTTTGTTTTTTGTTTTAAGAGAGAGAATCTTGGTCTGTCACCCAGGCTGCTGGAGTGCATTGGCACGAGCGCAGTTTGCTGCAGCCTTGAATTCCTGGGCTTAAGAGATCCTCCCAAGTAGCTGGGACTACAGGTGTGCACCACCACGCCCAACTATTTTTTTAAAACTTTTTTATAGAGACGGGGCATCACTATGTTGCCCAGGCTGGTCTCAAACTCCTGAGCTCAAGCGATCCTTCCACCTCAGCCTCCCAAAGTGTTGGGATTACAGGCGTGAGCCACCGTGCCTGGCCCCCTTTTGGTCTCTTTATAAGCAAACGTTCTTGGCTTGGACTCAGGGTAGAATCAGCCTTTGAGAGGAAGCCCATTCCGATGGCAAGTGCGCAACACAGCCTGGTGTTTCCCTGCTCTGAGGTTTCAGGGGCTCCACGGACTTGCTAAAGAGTCGGCAATATCACAGAGGTTTCTGGCCCCAGGAGTCATGAATGCAGGCACCAAAGAAACCAAGCATGGGCTCTTTGGCGCTGTTTTGTGTTTTTGTTTTTGCTTGTTTTTCCTTTTTAGAGATGGGGTCTCACTATGTTCCCCAGGCTGGTCTCAAACTCTTGGGCTCAAGCATTCCTCCTGCCTCAGCCGCCCAAAGTGCTGGGATTAAAGGCATGCGTCGCCATGTCTGGCCCTGTGTTTTGTTTTTTTAAGCAAACAGCACATAGCACTTACTATGTGCTAAGAGCCGTTATCCGCACTTTACATATACACTCAAACCCATTTATTCAACCAACTGTGGATAGAAAATTTGCAGGAAAAAAATTAAAAATAACAATACTAAAATAAAAAGTAATACTAACAGAAAAGCAATGCTGTACAACAATTATTTACAAAGCATTTACATTGTATCAGGTATTATAAGTAATCCAGAGATAATTTAAAGTATACATGAGGATGTGGGTAGGTTATATGCAAACACTGTACCACTTTATATAAGGAACTTGAGGATCCGCAGATTTTGGTATCTGCAGGGGTTCTGGAACCAATCCCCCGCAGATACCAAAGGATGGCTATAATATATATTCACACACATGCATGTGCACAGGTATGCATTTAATCCTCATTTTAAATACCCAAGAGGTAAGTAGGATTGCAGAGTCCCATTTTACAGATGAGCAAACTGAGGCACAGAAAGCATACGTGCCTTATGCAGGGTCCCACAGCAGGGGGGAGGCACAGAGGAACTCAGATGCAGGTAGTGTGGCTCGGAAATCCATGAGCCGGACCTCCCAGCTCTGCAGCTCAGTATCAGCTTTAACACCAGGTGCCCCCCCAACCAGATTTCTTGAATGAGAGTGAAGCCCTTCTGTTCCTTAGCTGGTGCTACGTCACCCACCCCGTGCATCTCAGACCCCCTGCCCCCAGGAACATCTGTTTGCTTTAAAGATGAGTGACAGCCAGGGAGAGTGAGAGCTGAGGACGATAAAATAAAGTTTACTAATTGATATGGTTTGGCTGTGTCCCCACCCAAATCTTATCTTGAATTGTAGCTCCCATAACTCCCATGTGTCATGGGAGGGATCCAATGGGAGGTAATTGAATCACGGGGGTGGGCTTTTCCCATGCTGTTCTCATGATAGTGAATAAGTCTCATGAGATTTGATGGTTTTATAAAGGGCAGTTCCCTTGCACATACTCTCTTGCCTGCCGCCATGTAAGGCATGCCTTTGCTCTTCCATTATCTTCCACCATGATTGTGAGGCCTCCCCAGCCATATGGAACTATGAGTCCATTAAACCTCTTTCCTTTATAAACTACCCAGTCTCAGGTAGGTCTTTATTAGCAGCATGAGAACAGACTAAGACACTCACAAAGACAAATGTAGTGGTTAAAGCCCGGTCCTAGGGCATTCGAGCCAGTGGCCTGGGCTCAGACACACTCCACTGTGTCTAGCTGAGTGCCCTCAGGTACGTAGACACCCTTGGCTTCCTTTTCCTTATCTGTAAGCTGGGGAAAATAAAGTGTTTCTTGTTCCCTTTCATGATGCTTAAAGGGAATAAACAGTGCTTGGCACATAGTTACACACAAGGCTGAGTTGAAGGGGTGAGAGTGGTCATATGTCAAGGAGGAGCATTTGATGCCATTCCCACAAAAGACCCACACCCGGTGGCTTCCTCTCCTCCTGGGCACTCTGTCTTATTCCTCTATGTGCCCTCCTCAAAAAAAAACATGTTGCAGTGGGCTGAATGGTGCCCCCAAAAGATATGTCCACACTCTCAACCCTGGAACCTGTGAAGGTGACCTTTTTTGGAAAAAAAAAATTCTTTGCAGATGTAATTAAGTCATGGATCTTTAGATGATGTCATCCTAGATTACCTAGGCTGGCCCTAAATTCAATGACAAGTGTCCTTAGAAAAGACAGAAAAGGAGAAGACACACAAACACGCACACATGTGCATGCACACATGCACTCATATGCACACATGCACACACAGAGATGCACGTATGTGCACACATACATACACACATGCGCATGCACACACATATACACATGTGCACACGCATGTATACACACAGAGGTGAGGCTAGGTGAAGACAGAGGCAGAGACTGGAGTGACTTCAGCCACACACAAGGAAGCAAAGAATCTCTGGGCAGTGGAGAAGCATGGAAGAGGGCCCTGAAGCCCTGGAGGGAGTGCGACCCTGTGGAGTCCTTGATTTAGACCTCCAGCCTCCAGACGGCCAGAGAACACATTTCTGGAGCATTAAGCCACTAAGTGTGGAGCGATTTGTTACAGCAGCCACGGGAAACTAATACACACATTAGTGATGATCACCTTTGAACACCCTTGAACACAGAAGACTCCAAATCTACAGCTGAAGACCACATAGAACTCTCATCCTCCTCCCCAAAGCAGCACTTCACGTTTTCGCCACTGAAACAGGGGGTCCCCAGGCATGAGCAGTAAGGTTCTCCAGCCTTCCAGACAGGAGGGTCCTCCCTCCACACTCAGGTGGTGCCCACCACCCCCCACCCCCTGCCCACAATGCCCACAGAAGTGCTGCTTCCTCACTCTGCCTCCCAGCCAACCTCCTCCACCACTGCCTCACTGCTCTTCCCCAATTCCTGACTTCCTGCCAGCCCTCCCCAACCTTAGGTCTCACATAGGCCCCCTATGATGTAAGTTCAAGTCCAAGCCCTGTGGCTGCCCGCTCATAACAGATGCTCACTTATCTCACTGTCTTCACGGTGGCAGGAGGGCCCCTTCCCTCACCTCCCTTGCCCTCTGTGACACTCCCATGCTCTGTCTACTTCCTGGCTCGCATGTTCTCCCTCCCGGGCCCTGAAGCTCCGTCTCACTCTCACTCTGGTTTGCTGATTCCAATCTTTTTTCCGTTCAAGGCCCCAAAGGTGGCTACCTCCTGCACAAATGACACTGTGCTTAGACTCTCAGTATTTGCCATGTTTAAATCTAGGAACCACAAAACAGGAGCTTCTTGTTTCTTGATGCATTTAAAATATCTCTTTCTCTAGCTACTTAATCCAGGCAAGACTTGTCTCCCCAGACAAACTGTTTGCTTCTTGGGGCAGAGACCAAGTTTTCTGTCCCTTTTGAATCCTCCAAAGCATTAAGTGTCTGCTAGGCCAAGGCCTCCCTTGACCTAAAGCACATGGCTTTCACATCCTAGGTGCCTCAGCAAGGCATCTGTGGGGCAGGAAATATTTCAGAAATGAAGATCAAGCTGTTGGCTCTCCAGCCATGAGCTGGGTTTCCAGAGAAAACCCAGTCAAGGTTTAGTCGCTCAGATAAATGTCTATTTATGCCTGCTGATTCAGAAAGTCTGTCTGGATTCAATTATTAGGAAAAAGATGATATTATTCCCCAAGAATAAGAATGTTAAAGAGATGTTTCTCCCATCAATTAACTACCGTTTACAGTGCAATAATACGATTCAGGCTGAAAACCTGAAGGTGGGTACATAAAAATAGATGCAATATTCATTGATGACACTGTTTGACTGCTTAAAGCATTGAATCCAGGAAACAAATAAGAATATGTATGACAAACTGGCTGTGTGCTGTGGTTCCTGTAATCCCAGCACTTTGGGAGGCCGAGGAGGGAGGATCACTGAGGCCAGGAGTTAGAGACCAGCCTGGTCAACATGGTGAAACCCCCGTCTCTGCTAAAAATACAAAAAGCACCCAGGTGTGGTGATGCATGCCTGTAATCCCAGCTACTTGGGAGGGTGAGGCAGGAGAATCACTTGGACCTGGGAGGCAGAGTTTGCAGTGAGCCGAGATTGTGGCACTGCACTCCAGCCTGGGAGACACAGTGAGACTCTGTCTAAAAAAAAAAAAAAAGAATATTTATGTCAAATAGACAAGCACACAAATAGAAGTTAAGGGAAACCCCATCTGGACTAGACTGAGGAAGGCTAAACCATTTCTGCCATTGCCATAATAGAATACTAAAAAACTATAATACCAACCACTGGGTCAAATGCATTGCCAGCATTATAGCTTTTAATTCTTATCACAACCTGTGGGGAGGTATAATTATTTTCCCCATTTTAGAGGTGATGACACTGAGGTTTGGAGCGGTTAATAACTTGCCCAAGTTCTGCAGATAAACACTCGGGGTGATTGAATCCAGGGGTACCCCACTGAAGCCTCTGCCTTTCCACTGCCCTTGACCCCAAGGGCATTCCTGGCAGTTTCAAGCCTGAGGGCCAGACAGCCCAGACAGACTGGCGGCTGGTCAGGCCTACATGCCCCTCCCAATTAAACAGTCAATCCACAGCAGAGCAAACATGCTGGGAGTTCCCACTAGGTCCAGGCTCTGTCCCTGGGCACTCTATTCAGACCAAGACAGGTCTCTAGAAAGGAGAGATCTAGTTCCAGCCCTTCTTGTCAGTGACGATAAAATTAAAGTCCAGGGAAGTAAAGTGATCGGCTAAGGTCACCTCAATAGTTAGCGGTGAAATGCAATAGCTAAGGCTTTTTCCTTATTTTTTGGTCTTCTACAGGCAGAGATTAGTCAGGACTCGGCAGGATCCTCAGGGCATCTGGGAGGTGAACTGCAGATAATGATGCCACTCACAGTAGCAACTACGCATCATTCGGTTTAATTCTACAATGTATTTACTGGGGTCTTATTTCAAGTCCAATATCCCACTAGGGCAAAGAGAGAATAATAACTCGGAATATAGGTCCTTGCCCTCTTGATCTGAGCCTTCAAGTGACTGTTATAAAGGGGTCATCTGTGCACGCATGCAGCTGTGGATCCTTTCCACGAGTATTCACTGAGAACCCCCTAGGGGCCAGGCAATATTTCAGCTACAGAGCAAATGGCCCTAGTTGGGATGTGACTCATCTTTACCATCTTGTTCTGCTGTGCCCCTACTGCCCATCTATCTAGTCCAACTGCTCCAGTTCAATGACCTGTCCTCCTTACCTCCAGCATATGCAACAGGGCAGAAGGAATATCCAAATAATCCAATGTGTTCCATTCAAAATATTTACCTGAGCACATACTGACCCGAAAAACAACAGCAACAAAATATAAACCTGATCATCTCCGGGCTATGACAAACCGGAGCAGAATGACTGGCCCTCTCCACATCTCATCCATCCCCAGACCAGAGGGCCAGGAGGCCTGCCTGTTGACTATACGGAAAACTACCCACCATGTTCACAAACCCCGGTCACCAGTGAGGCGCTGGCACCTCCGCTGTGCACCCCACCAAAGCTGTCTTCTGGTGTCTCTTCCCCTCTCCATCTCTAGCTTTGTTTTAATCTAATTCTATCTGTGTGCCTGTTCGGGGGTCTGCACACAGCAGACATTCTGTTGCGCCTGCTTCCCTGCTGCCTAATCCATGTGATGTCCCTGAACTTCCTTTCAAAACAAAACACCTGTACTTTCACAAAGCTCTCCCTAGGTTTGAAGCATGCCATATAAATTAATTCACTCCCTCCTCGGAATAATCTCACAAGGCAGGAGTTTTATAATCTCCTTTTTACAGATGAAGTGATCAAGTCAGAGAAAAGTAACTTGTCCAAAGTCACACAACTAATACATAGCTTGACCAGGATTTGAGTTTAGGTAGCATACTTCCAGAATCTTTCTCTTAACTATTGTGCTACAACCACTTCCTAGGTCAATCATTCCCTTCCCTCCGTCCTATCTCCCTCCCTCCCTCCCATCTCCCTCCCTCCCATCGCCCTCCCTCCCATCGCCCTCCCTTCCTTCGTTCCTCCCTCCCTCCCTCCCTTTCTCCCTTCCTCTCTTCCTTCCTCTTTCTTTCTCTGTCTCTTGCTGTCTCTCTTTCTTTATTTATTTCAAGACAGGGTCTCCCTCTTTCTTGCAGAGTGGTTTCCGCAGTGGTGCGATTATAGCTCACTGCAGCCTCAAAGTCCTGGGCTCAAGAGATCCTCCTGCCTCAGCATCCCCCTTACCCCCCGAACAGCTGGAGCTATAGGCATGCACCACCACACCTGGCTAATTTCTTTATTTTTTGTAGAGATGAGGTCTCCTTATGTTGCCTAGGCTGGTCTTGAACTCCTGGCCTCAAGCAATCTTCTCACTTCAGCCTCCCAAAATGCTGGGATTACAACCTTGACCACTGTGCCAGCCTAATCATTTTCTAGTGCTCATAGGGGTCTCTCCAGTTCAGCTCTGGCTGGAGAAAGCCTTCCGCCTGGGTTTGGAGGCTGTGTCGACCTCAGGAGGAAGGAAATGGAAGAGAAGGAAGGGAACAGAATTCCTCCTAGGACTTAAGTTCTCATCAAGCCTGCTCTGAAAGGGTGGTGAATCCTGGTTACCTGAGACACCCAGACTATTATTAAACTTGCACTTCCTGAGCAGATACTAATATAGCAATAGATGGGGAGCGAGGGGGCTAAGGTATCCTGGGAGGGAGAGGCCGGAAGCACGCTGCACAATGTCAACATGCTGTCACTCATGAGTATAGGGTGTGCAGAAACACCGGGCAGGCGGACCAAGGTGAGAGAACCCTGGGGCCTCCTCACACCTTCCCTGGGAGTTGGGGTGCCCTAAGTTTTCCCCAGGACAGGTCATGACTGACCTTCTCAAGATCTTTAGCACAAAATTCCTGTCTAGAAAGGTGAATGGAAACTGTGCTAATATCAATCGCTGTAAACAGCAAGAAGGCAATACCACTTTCCCACAGGGCCTTGTTGGAGCAAAATGTAGCTTCTTGAACACAGTCATTGTCAGAGCTCTCAGGAAGAAACTCCAGGTTCTTTCCTGGGGGAACTGCAGCCCAGCCCGGAGACAGGCAGCATCCCTGATGTGGAGCTGTCTGCTTTTGCGTGGGGGGTCTGAGAGCCTCGCTGGGGTATCAGGAAAGACAGCTATCCCCAGCCAGCACACCCCGGTAGCCCTGCCTTTGCTCCCTTGACGATGGAGAAACAGAGGTGAACGCCGGGCCCTAGTGAGTGTGTGTTTTATATTTCTTTCCTTTGGCCTTCCAGAAAGTTGTGCTGTTACAGCTTTACAAACTGTCTCCAGGCACCCCAGTCTGACTGCCACTAGCAACAATAAAATGAACACGCTAAAGGTGTCAATGAGGAAACAAGACGCCTGAGCAGGAGTGCTGGGCTCCCTCTTAATCTCTCCACCCAAACTCAGAGCCTTGGGAAAATCCCTGGGGTTCCCTGTGTTGTCTGCTCCCCGCCCTGGGGGCCTGGCAGGGTGGGCTGGGAAGTCGCTGGGGAAGGCCTGGCTGGGACGCGCTGCTCGGCCACTTGATGCTGTGCTCACCTAAGGCCCTGAACCTCCATTTATTTCCCCATTGCTAAAATGGGGATCCTGCCAGGGGCTGCGAGGATCTCGGGGGACAGCGGAGGGGAGCTCCAGGCTTACCAGGGGGCCCAACAGGTCTGCCTTCCTCTACCCCCATTCATTTCCTGCTACCTGGGGGCCTCTGGGCCCCTCGCGTTTCTGAGGTTTAGGGGCCAGACGCGCCGCAGACCAGGCGCCCGTTCAGCCCAAGGCCGTGCATCCCCCACCCCCGGCTGAATCTGCGCGGCCAGGCTCTCGCCCTGGGGTGAGGGGACGCGGCCTCGGCCAGCGCCCAGCCCCCCTCGGGGCACCCGGGTGGCGGCTCCACGCTCTTGCCCGTGAGCCTCTCCCGGGCCGGCCACAGGTCCCTCCGCCTCCCGGCCCCGTTTCCAGCCCCTCCGCGGCCGCAGCCTCCAGGCCAGAGGAATTTTCCCCTGGATCCTGCTAGAAGCCTCGGCGCCCGGCGTGAGGCAGCAGAAGGGCAGCCCCGGCGCGCGTGCCCGCACCCGCCCGAGAAAGTTGGCGCCGGGGAGCCGGGCGCGGAGCCGCAGCCCGCAGGACCGACGCAGAGCCCCAGCCCCGGCCCCGGCCCGGATCCCCGCGCCCCGGCTCCGGCCCAGCAACCGCGACAGCTCGTGCACTCACCGCAGAGTCTGGCCCGGACCTGCCCTGTCGCGCTGCCATCGTCCAGCGCCCGCGCTGAAATCCGAGCCCGGCTCCCGCTCCCCCTCCCGGTTATCTGCTGGGAGGCGCGGGGAGCGCCAGCAAGTTACGCGGCATCTGGCTAAAAATACAGGCGCCCTCCGTTCGCCCGGGCCCCCCGGCCGCGGCCCCGGCAGGGATTCGATGCTCCCCGGCCCTGCGCTCTCCCGCCCGCCCGCCAGCCGCTAATGGGATCTCTTCATTTTCTCTCCATGATTATGTCAGATGGGAAAGTTAATGCGAAGCGCTCTCTGGAGAGCAGGCACCTGCTGCCAAGCCCTGCGGAGGGGGTGCACGCGGGGGCGCGGACGGGGTGCGGCCCCAGCTGCAGGTGCCGGCCGGCTGGCGGGCGCGGGGCGGGCGTCCTGCCCCTGAGGAGGGGAGGCACACACGTCCAATGGAGGTGAGGAGCTCCAAGCTGCATGGCCTCCCGCCCTGCCTCCCGCCGCCCCGAAAGCCCGGTAAATGGTTCCCGGAGCCTGCCGAGACGCGGCCTGGGTGAGCCCAGCAAACTCTATTTATGTCCCATAACCGATTTGCATGTTTTGAGCTCTTCCATCGTGTCCTGAGATACCAGTTAATCAGCCTATTCCAGATTCTGCCTGAGAGCCGCCACGCGAGACGCAGCTGGGTTGCAGGAGGGCAGAGCTGTCACTCCCACTGCCTCCCGCACTGCTCTGACGCTGGCGGTGAACTAGCGTCACCCGCGGCTGTGTCCGCGCAGTCAGCTCCAGTATTCTGGCCTGGGACCACCATCACCTTCTCATGCAGTCATTTCAGGGGCAGATGTCAAAACCCATGTGTGGGGTTTTGGGGAAGTCTTGGGGTGACATCATGAAGAGTAGGCTCAATTCAGAGAGGTGAGGGAACCGTCAGTAAAAGCAGTGTCAGGTAACTGGGCCCCTGGCAATATGGCTTTTTCAGATCATAGGTGTTTTCTATCATGAGCCAGCTTCGTGCTGGCTTCAAATCACAGTCAAGATACAACACCAAATGCTCTTTTCCTGTCTCCCTTCTCCCTGACAGTGCACAGTACAGCTATGCATTGGTGAGTAACTGGTAGGCTGAGGGCCTATTAGCTGATGGGCATATTGCATTATCTCATTTAAATCCTCATGGCCACCCCATAAGACAGGCAACGCTACTGCAGTTGGATAAATAAAGAAACTGAGCCCAGGCAGGCAATGGGTCAAGACCAAGGTCCCCACTAGTAAACTGTGGGACCAACTGGTTCAGAGCCAGACTGACCCAAAGCCCTGCCACTAGCAGCACTGGCAAGATTCCTAACAATAGTGTGCTCGGCGCCAGGAAGAGATAATGTGGGGGATGATCTTAAAGGATCCTAATTCCAGCACTTTGGGAGGCTGTGGCAGGAGGATTACTTGAGGCCAGGAGTTCAAGACCAGCTTGGGCAACATAGCAAGACCCTGTCTCTACCAAAAAAAAAAGTTTTTAATTAGCCAGTCATGGTGGCACATACCCATATTCCTATCTACTCAGGAGGCTGTGACAGGAGGATCACTTGAGCCCAGGAGTTGGAGGCTGCAGTGAGCCATGATTGCACCACTGCACTCCAGCCTGTGTGACAGAGTAAGACCCTGTCTCTAAAAAAATAAAAATTTAAAATTTGAAAAGAAGAAAATACTGCGAGAGTGTGTTACAAAGCCTGGTACTCTGCAGAACCATGCAGCAATGGCGGGGGTGTGGGTGAGGGGGAGTGTCCCAAGGAAGTAGGATAATCAAAGATCAAAGAAAAGGCCAGGATGTTGTCAAAAGGAGGGATCTGAAGTGTAATAATACAACTAACTCCTCCTCATGGGGTTAAAATACTGGTATTTGAAGACAACACTATGAGAATTCTCCAGGCACAAGACCCTCCACAGAACTGGGGTTGAACTTAAGGATGGGCACCCTCTGGAAGGCAGCAGTCCATCTGGAAGAAAGTCACAAAGCCTGTTCCCGCCCCAGGCACATGCTGCTAAGACCTCCAGGTCTCTTGCCTCGTGCCTCTGAAAACTACTGTCCAGATTTGCTAGAATCCTCTACATAGAGAGCTCCAATTAATAAATGATGGTTACTGGAACAGCCCTATCACAGCTCAGTGGAATATCTCAAGGGATTCTAATGCACTGTTCCAACATTAATATTTACAGAGAGAGAGAAAACGCCCTGCTCAAATGGATGAATAATATATATAATACTTTCAAAAACACGAATGCAATTGACTTGCATAATGAACTGAAAGAGATACTATTTTTCAGCAACGATTTGAGGATTAATTGACACACTACGAGTTGCACATTTAAAATGGACAATGTGCTAAGTTTTGGCATATGTATACCCATGAAACCATGGCCACATAAGATAATGGGCACAATCACCTCCAAAAGTTTCCTCATGCCCCTTGGTAATCCCTGCCTCCTGCCAGCCAATCCACATCCTTATCAAGACTTGGTATGGTTTGTCTTAATACAGACATCCTAATAGATGCACCACATGGCTATTTTTTAAAAATTTTTTGGTAGAAACGGGGTCTATTGCATTTCCCCCAATAACTGATAATGTTAAACATCTTTTTCAGGTGCTTATCTTCCATCTATATATTTTCTTTGGCGATGCAGCTATTCAAATCTTTTGTCCATTTTTAAATTGGAATGTTTGTTTTCTTATTGAGTTTTGAGAGTTCTATATATACAGAATATCTTTGTTAAAGGTGAGATAAACAGATCTTATAAATAAAATATTCAAAGCTCAGTAGCAAAAACATTCCCAGTCCCATTTTGGTCCTTAGGTCTTCTAATTCTTAAGCTGTGTCTTTCTTTCTACAATGCTGTGGGTGATAAACAATCACAAAGAAAAAGATGTGATAGTCACAATGGACCAGAAGCTGAATACAACCCGCAGCGCTCTGAGTGTAATGGGAAAGATGCATTATTATTAGAGGACTTTAGTTCTCAGAACTGCCAAGAATTCTTGACATTAGTCATGAGCTCATTAGGGTTGAGGCTTTGAAACTTAGACAGGCGATGAGTCAGGCAAGGCCCAAGAGGAGGAGAAAGGACACAACTACAGACATGTTGCTCAGTGAGGCCTGGAGCTAAAGGAGCTGAGCTGATAAGGCTAAGGAGAGAGCCCTTGAAACCTAAACTCCAGCACTGCACCCTGGAACGCCACAGTGGAGCTAATTATATGGTGCCCGGTCCCAGGTGTGGAGACCTGGCACCAGAACAAAATTATAACTGTCTCCCAGGCAGAGACAGCTTGGTTTTCAAGTTCCGAATTCCCGGTCCCTCTCCCTCGCTTTCCCCACCTACTCCCCTATGTGACTGGCATAGTGCTGGGCAGTGCTAGACACAGTGATTGCCGACTCGTGTTAGAAGAATGACGTCCCCACCACTTCCATGAGTCATGAAGAAACTTTAAGTCTTGGGGTTAAATTGCTATGGAAAAGATTTAGATTCCACAGAAAGAAATGTCCAGCTATAAGAGATACGTGACTTAACAGAACTCATTATTCAGAAAGAGGTTAATCTTTGCCGGAGATCCCTCAGGATAGAAAAAGATAACTCACCCTTTGATCTGGCATAGAGACCACTGGGTAAGCTATGCATGTTAGAAGGGTCTCTTTGGGTTCTAGGGATTCAGAAAGCTAAACCATTGTTCTTTTCCCCATAACTGACTGCCCCGTCAACCTTCACGACCACACCCTTAGACCACAAATAATCGTCCTGCTTCTCCATCTCCATTTTGTTTATACTTCAAGGCTGCATGTTTTTATGTAGGCATTTAGTGTGCTAAGATCTGCCGATGAGATCAAAACAAACCACCAGAAAGGAACTGATGGGCTGAAGAAAAGGCTGAAGACTCAGCTGACACAGGCCACTGTTCTAGCCTATGGCTTCATGGAGTCTGCAGGCTTTTCCCATCTTGCTTAATATTTTACCGACTGTCTTTTTGCAGCGCTCTCTGCAGACAAGCATAATGAAATGCTGGAGGCCTCGCCTCTGGGGTTCTGTCCTCTGAGCCACATGCAGCTACGCCAAGCGGGGATGGTGTGGGAGAGAAGAAAGGGAAGAAATTGTGCAGCACTTAAACCCCCAGCCTACTTCTGGCTTGGTGCAGTAAGCTGTTCTCAGGATAGACAGGGGCTCTGGGACACTCGAGGGACTGCTGCTGCTGTGAATTCCTGCAGGGATTTCACAAGCTGGAGGAACACGAGCCTGAAGCAGAGAATTCCATCCCACATGAGTGGGGCTCTCAGGGGACTCTGCCTCCCCAGGATGATTTGGGGGGATAGGTTCAGGCTGCTTCAAATGGTGACCAGTAGGGGACATGAGGTGGCGCCTCTCTACAGGGACATCAGAGCTGAGATCAGGGCAGCCCCAGGATTCGAGAGAAGGGCGTCCTGGTAGCTCAGGCCCTGTGGCAATGACTGTCCTGCTCAGCCCTCCTATGCAATCAACTCAAACCCAGAACTCAATAGCAACAACACTATTTGCTTTCTGGACAGAAAGTCAGTAGGTCTCCCACAATTGAGCTGTACAGCTTTTGATAAAGGAAATAACTTTTCATCATCAGTTATTTCATCATCAGTTGATTTCTTCATCGGTAAAATGAAACTAGCTTCACCCATCTCTCCAATATTGGGAGAATAATGTGAAAATGCTGACCACCACTTCTGGCACATGGTAGGTGCTCCATCAGTGACAGCTGACGCTCGTTTTTCCTCCTCCCCTCCCTTTCTTCTGGACTAAAGCTTTTGTCAAAAGTTAACATCTCCCTCAGAGGTGTGCAGTGTCACTGATTTTGCCTCAACACTGGAAAATCAGGGCCTCATCACTGCTGACCCAGGGTCAAACACCCACAGCCAAGATCAGGATCCCAAGAAACCTGAAAGCTCTGCTCTGCACCCAGACCTCTTGGGTTTATAATGCACCTTTTCAATGCCCATATTCTCGGCAGCAAAGAAACAACGTGTGGACACAGTTGTGCCCCCACGCTCCCTGTCAGCAGCTGCCCTTGCAGTGTCCTGACGCTGGCTGTGGCTTGCTGACCCATTCAGCTCCTGACCCTCCTTCTATCTGTTCTGCCTCACCCACCCAAGGAGCCGCCCCCACTCCTAGAGACTCTGGGTGCCACTGATAAGGGTGGGTACCAGGAACCCCACCCTTTACTGAGAAAGGCAGGCCGGTTTATCGCCACTCAGAGCCAGCCAGTGACCATCCTGGAGAATGTGCTGGCCACCAGGAGTATTGCTGTCGGGGAAATGTTATTAACTAGGAAGGAACTCTACAGAATGTTCCACACAAATGTCACATTGAATTGAATCAGAAATCCAGTCTGACCC